GTCAGCAAAGTTCAGGTAACGTACTATGATCGGTCTAGGCCAGTTATCCTCTCTGGGGGGACCCAGCCTGTGGGCCATTTCTACTGTACAAGGATGAGAGAAGCCCAGTGCCCTGGGAATTGCCTCTGCACAGAATGGTATCAGGTCGCCTGGTTTTATCGATTCAGGTAGGCCGATAACCCGCAAGTTATTTCGGCGAGACCTATTTTCCAGATCATCTAATTTATCTGAAATCGCGTTCATCTTGTGTGAGGCGGTTTTAAGGTACATGCTGTTGTCCGCCATGCCATCCTCTAAGCTGTCAGTGCGTTGTTCTATGGATGACAGCCGTTTGTGATGAGAATCTATGGTGGATGATATTGTACCCAGATGTAGTTTAATTGCTTCAGCAACTATATTTGAAATGTCTTGTTTCAAGTGGGAGGCTACTTCAGATGCTAATTTAGAGTAATCAATGGGGCAGAGGGGCTGTGCAGATGTAGATGCTTGTACCTGCATTTCTCCCTCAGAGTCTTCTGTGGCACTGTGTGTGGATTCGTCAGCAGCAGCAGCAGCCGGCGCCATTTTGGCTGCAGTATTTTCTCCCCCTATGCTGTCTGACAGAGAGCGGCGAGCGGACGTCTGCCGCGAAATGAATCGATCCATGTCTGGCAGCGGGGGTGATGTGGCCGAACGGAGGTGTCTGTTCATGTGGCGAGGTGTTGGAACGAGTCGAGCAGGTGAACAGCGGGACGGAGGAGACGGGAGAGCCGTTACCTCATCAGGCGCCGGAACCGGAAGTCCCCAGTTATACATTTTAATATATGTTGTTCCTTCTCATCGTTGCTTATGTGGATTAAAGGGAAAGATCAGAGGCAATCTATTGTATGAAACTGCATTCATCTCTGTTCCCTTTTCAATATCTCTCCTATGCCTGCTGCTTGCATTAGGATTCAAACTCTTAACTTCATCTGTGTCACAAAGCTTTCTGAGATTCTGGTTATCTTCCGGATCTCTGTGTCAGACTTCATGAGTACCTTACTTGTATCAGTCTAGAACTCTGAACTCCATGACTCCACCCCAGCGTCCTGTTTTCCAAATTTACTGTGCTTGCTGCAATGTCTAGTTTGTTGTTGCTGTTAAGCATCCAAACTCAGCTGCTCATTTACTTATTTTGGTTGACTACTCCTCATCACCCTCCACCTCATATTTAACCCCACTAGCTGCAGACACCAGCTAAATACTGACCAGTTACCTGCCTTTCCACCATTACTTCTGCTGCTACCTTTGCACTGATCATGGACTGCTCCTGATCTTCAACCTTGTCTACAATTGCATCAGCTAGACTCTGATCCTGATCCATATTGTGATAGAATAATCTGGCTCCAACATGGACCTCCCTGGAACAGGTACTCTGATTACCATAAGACAAGAAAATGCTAGATTGTTAGAGTTTGTTGTCATTTATAAAAAAAAATGTACTTACTTAAAACCATGGTTAAAATGGACCTTGAATTAAAAATCAAGGTCCACTTATTTAATCAATGCCCCACCCCATGACTAAAAGCTATATAATATAAAAGTGTAAAAAAAACAAAAACATTGTCAATATACTTACCTTAACCCCAGTCTCTGCACATGGTACCTAGTTGACGGTGATGTTTATACTCTTCTGGAAAGATATCAGGAACAATGAGGATCTAAAATCTCCTGTGCATAAATGTTGCAAGATGCAACAAATCTCCTTTGGAGTCCCCTTCATCGTCTCAGTATCTTCTTTCCTATCCAAAATCATCATGATCTTCAATGCTTTCAAAGCCACAAGACCTGGAAGCTCCTGTAGGAAATGGGTGGGAGTCAAACTTCCTAATACAGTCATGGTTTTCTCCTTATGTAGTCAGGTTATAAAAGGTGTTCTTAGATTGTTCATCTCTCCACCATATCAGGAGCATGACATGCACTCTTCTCCAGGGAAGATCATCATTCAGTGTAATTGGTCAGTTTTTGGATTCTACTCTGTGTTGGGTTATATGGGGCTTCTGGCAGCTGTGAGTTTTATTCTGGATTTCATGGTGAGGACATTACCGGACAGTTTTATTGAGGCCAAGTACATCACCTTCAGCATGCTGGTGGTCTGCAGTGTCTGGATTGCCATGATCCCGGCCTATCTGAGCACCAGAGGGAAATACATGGTGGCTGTGGAGATTTTTGCTATAGTGGCCTCAAGTACTGGACTTCTTGGCTGTATATTTTTCCCAAAATGTTATATCATTCTGTTCAGACCTGACCTGACTACAAAAACAGGTTTGCTTGA